ATAAAAAGTTGAGGGTAAGTGGATAATATACTATGTAGTTTAAATGCACAATAACTGGAAAAATTTTCAAAATATAATTTCATACAACGAGAACTTCACAAAAACTCGAAGAATACGACAGTGAGAAACTGAACTTCTTAATATAGTAGCAAAAAATAGCCATTTGCTGAAAGAAACAAGGTATTATATTCTGATCCAGCTTGACGACAGGATTTCAGGAATGCAAATTATGTACTCTCTTTTAATGTTTCTTTTATATAATGAAGTTCTTAAGAAGTTTGTATGGTACTATACATTTGACTTACTTCGGCTATTATTTTGGCTTCAACCAATAATTAATACTTAGGCTTTTCAGTCAACAAGAAAAATAATCAATTTAGAAAAAAAAGGACATCTAAATACACAGCTAGAAAAGTGTTGGGTAAATAATAACCTTTAAAGCTTACTTGATGTTTGTTTTTTTCTAATTCCTATTCTAGTGGATTGATTCGGTCGTAGTGTCTGGTATGTTGACCCCGACAAAAAACGCGGCACTTACGATTAAACACTCTCACCATTTTTGGTGTTTGTACAATTGCACGAAGTGGATTAATGCGACCTCATAAGTTCTAAGTCAAACTAATGCAGCCTCTAAAAATTCGCTAAACTCCTCTGATGTCATTTAAAAACTAGAACAAAATCCTTTTCATAATCTCTCTTGGGTTGAGTTGCTTCAATTACAACTAAATTTCAAATGCCATAATTTTCGTAAGGATTTAAAGAAATAAAAAGATGGTAAAGGCAAGAAAGTTAATAGGACGAAAAAGGAGGAAAAGATGGTAATCGAAGCCAGTCGGCCATAATGTCTCCGCTAACCAAAACATTGTGTAACATTCGTAACACATCTGGTTCGGTAGTGGCTGAATCTGATGACTCAGACGAATGTGGACATTGATCATCGGCGAAAAACAACGAAAAGCAAAAGAAAAATGCAAGAGAGGCCCTCTGAGTAGCTTGGGATGACCTGACTTCTTATCGATCCATGTCAAACCATGCTAGAGATTGTTTTGTCCTTGTGGATGAAATGTCGCCAAGAATTACTGGAAATTTCAAGATGTAATAGTCTGACTGAAGTCAACCTTGGCTTTGGTCATTACAACTTCTAAGAGTTCGCTCTGAATAAACCAAATATAAACACTTATGAAATTGATTGTTTACATCAACATCCTAGGAGGAAAGCACTACTTTCATTTACGAAAGTGAGCCCTTGTTCATATGAACTACAACTCTACCCATCAACACAATGCAAAGTGTGATAAAATGAAATGTACTAGCATCGCTCTTGTTGACATTCAACGAATATTCTTTAGGATTAAGTTGTTACAATTTGTACAAGCAAAACACATTTTTGCCCTTTACTTTTTATAATATCAATGAAGAATCAAGTTCATCTACAGTAGCATAAATAGTCAAAATTCTGCTTTTCCAGAATGAATACTAAGTATACTTTTTTCTCTGTACAGTATAATTTTTTCCAATAATCAGGATATCTACTCCATTGCACTGTAAGAAACACGGATTACTTTTTTAGGAATCTCAAACTACTTTGTTTGTATATGAAGGGTCCAAATGCCTAGGCAGTAAAAAATGTTTTTTTGTTTCGAAGAGGTTGGCGTTTGCTTTGCACTATTCTATTTCAAAGCTTATA